ACCGTTTCCTTTTTTATGGTTGGCCAGTAATACCATACCTCACCAGTTTGTAGGCAAGAATTTGAGCTCCTTGATGATTCCTATACATACTTTCGTGAACTTCAGTCAGGGCTTGGAGAGATTCACAGGGTGTGAGACATCTTAGGTAAGGAAGTGTAAAACTTCTTAGAAACAATACTCCTCCAACGATGCAGTACTTTGGTGCTCGAGGCCTAATGCTCCTCACAGCCCGAAGGTCAAATGATAGGTTCCCATTCTTTATGTATTCAATTATCAAATCAACCTAAGAGGGCTCAAGTCAATATCCGTGATGCTTGGCTTCTGGCTTATGCTAGGTTCCGTTACCATCATCTACTCCCATGAAGATGAGCCTTAATAATGCATCAGCTTTGCAATTGTCAGCTCTGGCAATTTTTAGGATTTCACAACTCTTGAATTGTTTCCAAAGATTATGCACTCTTAAACAATATAAGCTCATCTTTTCATCTTTTCTTTCAAAAGTGCCCTCGATCTATCCAACCACCAACTGTGAGTCACTAAAGATTTTGGCGTGTTCTAACTCGAGATTGTTTGCAAGTTCTAGAGCTATAAAAACAGCTTCATATTCTGCTTCATTATTAGTGAATTTGAATTCGAACGTGAGTGCACATTGGATTGCTATAGTTTTGTTTGAGTTGTGATGTTGAACCCGACTCCTGAATCCGAATTATTGATGCTCCATCCACAAAGATTTCCCATATTTTCAAGGTCATGCTCGAGTCCTTATCCTCCGGCCCCCAAGACCTTAGGGTGAACTCTATTATGAAGTCGGCCAAGGTTCGCGCCTTAACAGCAGGTCGTAGCTTGAACTCTATGTCAAATTTACCAAGTTCAATTGCCCACTTCAATAATCTTCTCGAGACGTTTGGCTTCTAAAGTATGTGTCTACGGGGTTGATCAGTGAGTACAACAATTGGATAAGACTAAAAGTATTATCGTATTTTTCTAGCAACTACTACCAAAGCAAGAACAAGATGTTCGACAAGTGTGTACCATGTTTCCACATCAAGAAGTACTTTACTTACTTAATAGATAGGTTGCTAAACCTTTCCTCTTTCTTTCACCAACACCCTACTCACTGTATTTTGAGAAACGGCCAAATATAACAACAAAGTGTCTCAGAGTTTCGACTTTGTAAGAACCGGAGGCGTTGCCAATGTTTGCTTAAGCTCTTGGAAGGATAAATCACATTCCTCATTCCAATCAAAACTTTGATTGCCTCTAAGTACTTTGAAAATGGGGAAGCATCTGTCTGCTGCTCGAAATAAAAAATCTGTTCAATGCTGCCATACGACCTGTCAATTTCTGAATATCCCTTGTTATATTAAAACTTGGATCTTGTTAGGATTGGCCTATTCCCGATCCCACTCCAAATGCGCATTTTGTTAGGTTAAGTTTTATGTTGTATCTCTGTAGTGTAGCAAACAACTCCTCGAGATTATAGATGTGATCATTCACTTGTTTGCTCTTAACCACCATATCGTCCACATATGCTTCAATTGTTTTCCAAATCAAGCTGGTAAAGACCTTGTTCATGAGCCTTTAATATGTTGCCCCTGTGTTCTTCAATCCAAAAGGCATGACCTTATAATAGTATATGGCCAAATCGACTATGAATGAGGTATTTTCCTAATCTTCTTTGGCCATGAATATTTGGAAATATCCTTGACTACATTGGCAAGCCAATCAGGGTATTGTACAACTCGAATAAATGGTAAGAACTGTCTTATCCTCTACTTAACAGGTTTTGCATCCAAATTTACATTGAGTCTATGTATTGCTACTTTAGGGTCAATCCCAGGCATGTCTTCAACTTTCCAAGAAATACATCAATATTACGAGAGAGACAGCTTACAAGTTCAGCCATGATTATTGCATTGAGGTCTCGTCAAACACTAATTTTCCTACCAAGCTTGAGCTTGACCTCAGCCAACTCTTCCACAAGGGCAATTATCCTGTGATGATCAAGCTGGACCTCGAGCTCTGAAAGCTGAATGACATCACCATTGATTTTTGAACACTAGTTACATAACAATGCCGGCCACAGTTTGGCTTCCTCGAATAACCCCAACTCCATTACTTGTAGAAAATTTCATTGTAAAGTAAAAGGTTGACATAATAGCCCTGATTCTGTTAAGTAATGGCCTCCCAAGTATGATGTTGTAAGCCATTGGAGCTTGGACGACTTCAAAGGTTGTGATCTATGTTACCTGTCTACCTTCCAACCCCAATTTCAAGGTCAACCCGACGATGCCCACTGGGGTGATGACCTCGCCTCCAAACCATTGAAGGGGTGTTTTGACTAACTTGAGCTGTTCGATTGAGATACCCATCTAAACAAAAGCCTCGTGAGACAACACATTAGTCGTGCTTCCATTATCCACCAGAATTCTCTTTATCTCGGAAGTGACAATGATGGTTGATACTACCAGCAATCATTGTAAGGAAAAGATATGCCTTCCAAATCCTTTGCTCCGAAGGTAATGTCTTCCGTCGAACCAAGATCTGTCCTTGAGACAGTTGGGGACTGTCTGGTGTATTATTTGCGCCCACTACTTAAGTCTTCCCTCCAACAATGATATTGATAGTATCTGCTGTAGGTTGCTTATTTTTCCAAGCCTCTGGGGCCTTGTTCCTATTTTTGTGGTTCCTTGGGCGCTTGTCATAGGTAACATAAGAGCCCAAAAACCCCCTCTCAATGAGGGCTTCAATTTCACGCTTGAAAGTAAAGAAATCCTCAGTCGTATGCTAATGATCTCGATGAAAATCACAGTACTTACCTTGTTGCGAGTGTCAGGAGGAGATCGCAACCTAGGAGGCCAGTTAAGCTCCTTGATGTTCTTGATCTTCATCAAAATATTAGACCTCAAGGTGTTCTAGTGAGTGAAAGATGTTGAAAGTGGTCTTGTCTTAGCTTAACCCGAGAAATATCCTGTTGTAAGTTAGACTTGTGCGACCTTTTCTAATCGATCCTACTTAATGATGAGGCATCTCTCCTTAGGACCCTGTTCTCCTCCATATTAAAGTACTTCTCAGCTTGGGTAAGTACACTTGTCACTGTCTTTGGAGGAGTTTTTGACAAGGAACATCTTAAATAATTCACACCTTATGGCATATGTCAGAGCTAAGACTACAACTATGATATGTAAGTTCGAAATTTGAAGCCTTTTTTTATTAAACCTAGTCATGAAATCCTCAAAAGCTCCAAGTGTAGTGACTGATGGAGGTGTTGCCTCCCTTGATGATTTCTCCTTAGCAACCGAAGGATCCCCAGTGAAGGCTGGCTAGAGACAAATGAATTTGCTAGAAGATGCCATGAACGTGTGTTAACCATGAATTTTGATAGTGTTTCCTAAAGACGGGCTAATAATCCTACCAAAAATTGTACATGTGGTTTCCCGAGTTTGATGGCTGAGATTGACCGCTAATGAGTTCTTCCAATATTTGAAACAAAGGCGTCGATGCATGTCCTCGTTGCCTCTCCAATACTTAAGTTAGAGAGAGAATTCATGCATTAGGCTATAAATTGGAAATAATAAAAAAACATATCTGAATAATGAGCCTTGGTCATGTATTTATAAATAAATGTTGGTGTTAGAGTTGTAGAATGATTCAACCATCCGTAATCCTTAACCTTATTATGTAAGGTATTTGTGTTATATTCAAAGCGTTCCGTTTGAGTTTGAATCGAATCGTGATAAGTAAATAACAAGGATAAGGGCTCGTTAAAGCTCGGCTCGTGAATGACTCGGGCTTGTCAAATGATGAGCACAAGTCGAGCAGCGCTCAAATCCAAGGAGCCGAGCAAGGCTTAGCTCATTGAGCTCATGAGCGGCTCGTGGTGAAGAAAAATTTGAAATTTTTCAAAAAATAAAAATAAAAAATTCGAGCTTTTGGGTTGGGCTCGGCCCACAAGCTCATGTGTTTAAGGTCGAGTCGGCTTGGTCCATTGCTATCTCTAGGGAATTATAGTCAAAGTAGGATCAACATCTTCTAGAAAGTAGGGGAGAAATTACATTAAAGGACTTATGGTCCAACATAAACGTGTAGGCCTGACCTCAACGTTAAGGCTAGACCTCAATAGTGGGGGAGATGCAAAGGCCCAAGGTTGGACCATAAAAAGGTCGAGTTCGAGTCTAAATGATTTTGTGTCATCACTTATCACATACTATTCTTTTACTGAAAATAATTTGATTACGAAAAGAGAGAAAAAGCGAAAGGCGAACTTTTACCATAAACAAAAATAAATATAAAGCCAAAAAGGAAGTAAAGGTATAAACGAACATGAAAGGTTACTCTCTGGGTAGTTTGTAGCTGTTTTAATATAGAAAAATATTATGTGTACACAGTAGTATTACACCCCCTTCACGTGAAGGAGACCACGAATATTGTAGGAGGGATGTAATGCATTGTCTACGCCTCATGGGCATACACAGCATTTCCCATTTTAATATCACTTAAAGCCAATGTGATGGACCGCCATCTGGTCCTCAGGTTCCCACTCTGGAGCATCTCCCAAACACACGGTCCAACAAGCAAAGAGTACACACATGATATATTTTGGGTAGAAATCTTATGACTGTACCTTCAAATGGGACGCCGTTGGTGCACTTT